AAAAAAAAAAAAAAAAAAAAGATTCTTACCTTGTACTTCTTTATCATGATACTCTTTTAGTTTTGTCCAAAGTTCCTTGAAGTCATTAGATATATCTATAGAACTAGGGCTTCCACAATTGCTTCCAGAGATGTTCATCTTTCTTAATATGCTCCACACTTCTATTTGCCTAATGTTTTCTGACTTTTTCTGTTACATTATATAGGTATGAAGTTGTCTTGGGCAGTTGAAATACCTGAAACAACAGATTGCAACACAAATGAATTTTACATTTATCTGTATGTAATTTTAAGTTAGAGTATCTTCAAGCTTAGCCAGCTATTCTCAAGTTTTCCTTATTTACCTACACTCAATCATTTTGAGAATCTGGGGAATGGGAAGTAAAGACAATTATGCTGAGAACCCTGATTTCAGTTATTTGGTCTTTAGTTAAGCTAAATTTTAAGGCAAACTTTCTCTTATTCCTCCTAGAAAGGAATAATTACTCAAATTGAGATGTTTCTGATATTGAGAGGTTTATAGTCATTCATGATCAGCATTGAATAATGCAACGTTCTACAAAGAATTAATTTTTTGTTAAACTTTTCAGTTGATATGAAGTGCAACAATATACTGAACCAATAACTGGAAAACATTCTGAATACCCTTGACTTAAACAGTATTCACATATATACATCTACATATACACAGAAGCACATGCCTCATAAAAGAGCAAGAAAGATGTTTGTGATTAATACACACGAACATCTGAATACCTTTCTTATTACAAGAGAAATCAGTGAGCAAGATACAGGCACAGCAAAGAACTATGAATACAGAAACGTCTAGTAACAAGACAAAAAGGGTAAGGCTATTTTGTGTCCCTCTTAGGGTAGAGGTGAATGATAATTACTTGTGTAAGCCCCTGAAGGAAGCAACAGGATACTGAGAAGTTCAAGTGGATTCATAAATATTTTAACGTGTCCTTAAGTTGAAACCATTAACTAGCTACCACTAAAAAAAGAAAACGATTAGTAAGTTTACTAAACCTCACATATGGCTCCTTAGCCAATGATTTACCATTACTAACATGCCCAAACTGATTTAAGTGTTTCTTACTAATCATTTCTCAAGGTCTCTAATGAAGAAGCTAAAATAAGCAATGACACTTCTAAAGGAGAAGACTGGAAAAATACACTCTTAAGTTTTATAAACGTTGTGATTGGGGGCACCCAGCTGGTTCACTATGTAGAGCTACTGATCTCAGGGTCATGAGTTCAAGCCCCACGTTTGGCATGAAGCCTACTTAATTTAAAAACAAAAAACAGGGGCGCCTGGGTGGCGCAGTCGGTTAAGCGTCCGACTTCAGCCAGGTCACGATCTCGTGGTCTGGGAGTTCGAGCCCCGCGTCAGGCTCTGGGCTGATGGCTCAGAGCCTGGAGCCTGTTTCCGATTCTGTGTCTCCCTCTCTCTCTGCCTCTCCCCCGTTCATGCTCTGTCTCTCTCTGTCGCAAAAATAAATAAATAAACGTTGAAAAAAAAATTAAAAAAAAAAACACCAAAAAACAACTGTGATTAGGCTTTGTTGAGACAGTGAAAACTGAACATGTACTGGATTTTAGAGAATATTAGCGCATTATTTTTAATTGTCTTGGGTATAATTTGCTCATATTTAAAAAAAAAAAAAGTCCTTAGCTGTTAAAGAGATATATACTGATACGTTTACAGGTAAACTCACCTGTTCTGGATTTGCTTTCAAATGCTCCAGCTAAAACAAAACATGAATGCCGGGTAGGGAGATGAAACCAGTAGGCCTGCTTTGACAATTATTGAAACTGTAATGGATGGGTCTCTCTCTTGTGTATATTATTTCCACAACAGAGTTTTTAAAAGAGGGATTGGGTGAATTAACACAGCTTCACTTCCAGAGAGGCCTGAATTCTATTTCTTAACCTTAAAAGATAAACAGGCTTACACTACTGTCAGTAAAAGCCACCATTTGTTTACTATATGCCAGATACCGTGCTGCTTTATAGTCATTTTTAAACTTAATCTTGAGAACTCTATAAAACAGCTACTGTTACTAATTTCACTTTAGAGTTGGAAAAACAGGTTTACGAAATTAAGTGACTTTCCCAAGGTCATTCTGTTAGGACCAACACAGCTAAATGGGGGTGGGGGTGGCCCTCATACTCTAGCGATGTTAATCAACTGCAAAATACTTTCCAGTAGCCTAAGATGGGGCACCTGGGTGTCTCAGTCAACTGAGGGTCAGACTTCGGCTCAGGTCATGATCATACACATGGTTTACGAATTCAAGCCCAGCACTGGGCTCACTGTTTTCAGCCAAGAGCAGCTTCCCATCCTCTGCCCCCTCTCTCTGACCGCCCCCATCCCCTCTTGTGCTCTCCCAAAAATAAATAAATATGTTATAAAATAAAGGAGGCCCCCCCAACAGTAATTAGTTCTATTAAGTAATAGTTTAAAACAAAATTTTAATGACTTCAATGAATATTTTAAAATTGCATAGTATTCAATTGCTTAAAACAGTGTAAATAAAATAAGCATTCGTTAACGTACCCTGAGAGGTAGCAAAAAAAAAAAAAAA